ATTATCAGTGGATCACCTACTAGTATGACGTATTATACAATTTTCTGTGGGCAATGGAAATTACATAATAAAATCAATGTCATATCAATTATTTCCAGATCACGACAGAGGCAGTACCACTCCTAACTAACGATCGGTTGACCCGGACTAATAAGGCGCTTGGGAGAGCAAGCTGTCCTGAAAGCCAGATGCTCTCAACACGCCTCTACATCATCTGTGGCTGTAGCTGGTAATATACACTGGACAGCAAAAGAAACTTTCCACTTCTGCCACACATAAAAAATCATTCCATAGAAATAAACAATTTTTGTATACAGGTATGCTGCAATACCCCTTACCAATCACATGCCCAAAGCAAGTTGTTGAGAACCTGAGGACTTCATATAATGGATTGAGAACGTCACAAAATGGTTTGACAACATCAAATAATGGTTCGACAACATCACATAATGGTTCGACAACATCACATAATGGTTCGACAACATCACATAATGGTTCGACAACATCACATAATGAAGTGAGAACTTCACACAATGAATTGACGACATCACATAATGGATTGACAACTTCACATAATGGTTTGAAAAATATAAATTCTTTACTCCACAAACGTGAATAGGGCTTAACCGCTTCCTACTTTATTCAGGACGGTATTGAAATTAACAGCAGCAAAGAAATAGCTGAGGCGTTAAATAACTACTTTCCAATCAGCTGCCGTCCTGTAAAACCTCTTTTCATCCTTTCTTTGCCGACAAAAACTCTAAATCACTCTTTTTGACACCCCACACAAGAAGACGTCGTGGATTGTGTCAACCAGCTCCCTTCAGGAAAGGCGCCTGGATATGATGATTTAAATCCATTTGTTATCAAACAGGCAAAGTATTCATTAACCCAGCCCCTGGCAGATATATTCAATTAGTGTTTGACTTCTGGAGTATTTCCCGATAGTTTAAAAATAGCCAAAAGAGCACCGATCTATAAAAAAAGGATGTAAGCGTGACCATAGGCCCATTTCAGTTTTGTTTTCCTTTTTAAAATTATTTGAAAACGTATTTATCAAAAACTGATATCTTTCATCAATAAACACAAGATTCTCTCCGAGTCACAATTTGGATTTAGAGAAAAACTCTCTACTGAACTGGCGATATCATATGTTACTTACCAAATAACAGCGGTATTGATCGTAACAGTTTTTCTATAGGTGTATTTCTGGATTTATCTAAAGCTTTTGAAACCGTAAATCACGATATTTTAATCAGTAAATTAGAGCTTTATGGTGTGCGAGGAACAGTACTGGACCTTTTGAAAAGTTATTTATATAACAGACAACAGTATGTATCATTTAATTCTGTAAATTCTACCAATGGAGTCATTACGTGTGGGGTACGGCAAGGATCTCTGATGGGCCCTTTACTCCTTATTCTCTATATCAACGACATATGTAATACCTCAGATTGTATGACATTCTCTTTATTCGCAGATGATACAAGTTTGTTGTATTCTTACACAAATGTAAATGAAGCTATTCAGAACCTAAATCTAAACGGCTCCTAGCTAAAAAATTATGTATCAATGCCCTGAAACCACATGATATTATTTTTGTACCAGTTAACACAAGTACCCGCAGACTATTCCACTTTTATTGAATGATACAATATTAAGGCAGGATAAAAGTACTAAATTTTTGGGTATAATTATTGATGAAAACCTTACATGGAAATATCATATTGATGGACTACAGAAGGAAAATACCCAAGAATAGGCTATTGGTATTATGAGTCGTCTTAAATATTATCTTCCGAGTAAGATTTTATTAACATTGTATAATTCCTTCATATTACCATATTGAAATTTTTCCATTTTGATTGGGGGCCGCATGACATCTAAATGTAACAAATTATTTACTTTACAAAAACGAGCAGTCCGCATCATCATTTTGCTGGCTATCGTGATCATTCTGCTCCGTTATTTGCTAAATTAAACCTGTTGCAATGTAACCATTTACACCAACTTAATCAGGGAAAATTCTTGTACAAACTTATGCACAATTTACTCTCTTCCAGTTTTAATTCTTGTTTTACTTTAGCATCTAACATCCATAGTTATAATACTCGTAGCAGTATGAAGGGAAACTTGTTTGTCGAATTTAACAGAAAGTCATTGGCCAAGAACGATATTATTCATCAAGGTATTCATCAGGTATATACAGATTACCTTCTTTATTTGTGTTTGCTAGAAAACTAAGAACTCGGTTGCTGGGCTCATAGTCCTAAATCATATTTATTTGTGCTCTATTAATGTGATATTGCCTCACACTTGTTTTTGTTTTGTCCTGTTCGTCATTTGTCGGTCCTAGTAGGTTAGATTGCTTAGTTTTCTTTGTCTCTCCATAGGTTGGGATACAAACGCGTTCTTGCTTGACCTTAGACCTAAATGTTGTCATCTAATTTATCAAATGTAAACTGATACATTATGTAATGTTGCTCAAGTTAATGGCCATGTTCTCAGTACTTACGTAATGTGAATCATGTTTGCTTATTGTAAAGAATGACAGCATCGAAATTAATGTTTTATGTTAATGTTTTTTGTTTAACAATTTCACATACTGGATTGACAATTTCACATAATAGACTGACAACCTCACATAATGGACTGACAACTTCGCATAATGGTTTGACAACATCACTTAATAGATCGAGGACACGATTAAACTACTTTCACAGAGTAACATCATATTTTGGTACGTTTGGCGTTCCATACTAGCATGACTAGACTATGACCATTATATAGCTCCATGCTATGAGTAACAAGATGTCGAAATTCACTCTCGTTATCTTGCTGTGCGTTTTTGCAAACAAATTGGTCTTGTCTCAAGATTACGACGACAACCATGCAAAAGTATTAATTGTTGGCGCTGGTGCTGCAGGTTTGCAAGCCGCCAAAGAGTTCCATGACAAAGGCATGGACGATTTGATCATCGTCGAAGCCGCAAATTTCTACGGCGGAAGAGTCCACGACGTGACCTTTGCTGGAAAGCAGGTAGAGGCAGGAGCCAACTGGGCACAGCCTCCGGGTACTGAAATCATTGACACCGTGAAAAGACTTTCTATTGTGTACCATGAATCGGACTTTGAGTCTATCATCATTCGTAACGAGACTGGGCATGATGTCAGCGAAGAAGCAGACCCCATCTGGGAAGATATGGAGCACGCCTTGGGGAGATTAGCCGAGATCGGTGAGGAGCTAATCGACGAATGCCGCCGTGATATGTCTCTACGGGCCGCTCTTCGTGTGGCTGGCTGGAAACCCACAACACCCATCCACAAGACAATCGAATTCTTCGATTTTGATTTTGAATGGGCGGATATTCCGGCTGTAACTTCTCTGAAATCGACCACTCCTATCCAATTGATCTCTGCCACAGGTGGGAACCTTTTCGTCACCGATCAAGGTGGTTTCAAGCGCATCTTTGAGGAGATCACTCCTTGGCTCATGATGGATCCTTATAAGAATCATCTTCGCTTGAACAAAACTGTAGTGTCGATCGTCGATAAATCTAGCAATGGAGTGGAGGTGAGGTGTTCTGACGGGACTACTTACACAGGTGATTACGCCCTTGTCACGGTAAGTCTTGGGGTCCTGCAGAACGATGTGATCGACTTCCAACCGGCCCTTCCAGAATGGAAGATTGTAAAGTTCTTCCAGTTCATCATGGCATCCTTCGCAAAAATCTTCATCAAGTTCCCTACTCAGTTCTGGGACAACGAGGAGTGGATTCTCCACGCTAGCGAGCGTCGGGGATACTTCCCTGCCTTTTCTAACCTGAACGCCCCTGGACTGTTCCCGGCGGGTACTAACATCCTCGTTGGCTTCGTGACTGGAGACGAGGCCCGTCGTATCCAGAACCAACCACTAGCGGAGACAAAAGCTGAAGTCGAGGCGGTAATGCGCAACATGTATCCCGATGCAACTGTTCCCGAGGCTACGGATATCTATGTCACTGACTGGGACACCAACCCGCTTTTCCACGGCGCCTATTCCAACTGGCCGGTTGAGGTTTCCACCGAGGGGTTTGAACAGATCCAGTCTCGTGTCGGTAACATCTTCTTTGCTGGTGAGCACACAGACCCAATGTTCAACGGATACATCATTGGGGCCACTCGGAGTGGTGTACGTGAAGCCAGCAAGATTCTGAGCTGCATGAAGGGGGAGGAATGCCCAGCTTATGAACCACCCAAGTCATACTCCTGTCCTAGTAGTGGCAACATTGCTACGTTGTCATTTACTGCAGCATTAATTGCAGCATTATTCCACTCTTTTACGGCTTTGTAATCAAGTGCACGTGTAATGATGGCATTTGGATTCCGACAAGCGCACTGTGATCCATTTTACTGCACTCGTCATAACCAGCATGCTTCGTAAAAATATGTTTATTTGACATAGGCTGAGGTTGTGCACTTTTCTTAAAGCCAAGCTGCATGTATTTGTCGTGGAGTATGGAGTTTAGCTACATTTGATTTGAAACCCAATTTTGGTTTATTCTTTTATTCGAAAGAATTTTACCTGAAGCTCTGTTATGCATGAAAGCAACGTTTATTTTGTCCCTGTCGCTCTCACGAGAAATTTTTTTAGGCAAAGTGCATAATTCTATGAAGCTGTTTGTCAAATGCCTGATTTCATTCTTAGCTTTAACTGGAGAACAATTACTATCGGATTTGTGGACCTCTCCGTGAGGATACGTCCAATGCTAATTGCCATTTTTCAAGGACTTGTTTAAAGGATCCATGAAATGATTTTTTCTGAGAATCAGTGTTTGATTGTTTGTGTATCTCTATAATTTTCTTCCTTGTATGAAGAGTGTTTGACACTTTTTTAGAGTTACGTGAACTAAAGGATGCACTTTTTAAACATTCAAAATTGACCAAGCATTTCTGGATGAGTGAGGGTGCTTTTGCTGTGATGTTAATTCAGTTCAGGTTGCCTGTTTTCATTTTCAAATTGTGAACTCCAAATTTGCTGTCTGGGAACATTTCTGTGAGAAGGATGCTTGCTGACTTGCCACATGCTTTCAAAGCAATAAATTCTCGAAGAAAATGAAATCTACCACAGCGGTGTTAAAAAAAAATCTACAAATTTTCTGTGCACAAATTGGTGCAACATTGAGATTCAGTGCCATGGATGACATCATAGTTCTGCTCATGAATATGCAAATGTCATTACCTGTGGCATAAAAACCTGTAAAGTTCCAAAATATGGGTTAAAATTGCCAAAAAATGAATCCTAAAGATGCAATTCCAAGGTTTTTTATTATTATAAAATATTTCTATTTCATAGTTCCTTTAAGCGCATGAGCACATTTTGGCCTCCAAAGATGGCGCCTTGGGGCGTCAAGCCAATGATCTGGATGCACAATTTAATCGGTGTACATGACAGAGATCAGTGCTCTATCCAGTGTTACATGTACTTAACCGCCTTCAGGCGTTGACATGACTTTGCCGGTGAAGTGTGTCAGTTTCGGATGATTATGGGCGTTTCACAATGTCGACCAATGCGCGTTTGGAAAGGGTCCACATATTTGGCGCATTGTGATTGGCTAACTCGTTGCAAACTCTTTCAAGTGTGCTATTGTGAATCGCCCGCATTACATGTACAAAGGGCCGTCATCGAACGCGTAGACGGATTTCTAGCCACGCTCCATAGTTTTGTTTTGACTTTTGAAGCCTCTAGACCAAGCTGTAGTTACCACTTGTGGTTGTAGATGCTTTATTTCGTACTTTTAGTCGTTTACGTGTACCAAACTTTCGATCTATATCGTTTTAGCTTATATCACAACGCGATGCATTGAGGCAATTGTAGAGAATGAATTTCACCACAAATCTGACTCTTTTATGCACCTTATATGTATTTCCATCTCTCTTTAATGCAGCAAAATCCCCTGGTAACATTTATCAGACTGTTAAATGTAGTTATTGTGTGTGCATTTGACAATTTTTTTTGGGGGGGGGGCTCCGCTAAAAGATTCTAATGACGAGCATATCATGGAGCTATGACTAACCCCAAAGCCCGAACTGTCAAGGGGATGCCATATTCTTTCTGATGCTGTACATAACCGACAAAAAATAATCAGCAAAAAAGCAACTGATTTCAGATTGTGGGTAATAAATGCATGCTGTGTGCAGTGAAAGCCTGAAAGATTTAGTTTAACTCTTGAAATTTACTTTTGAGCTCAGTCAGATTTGTTTGTCTTGGAAGGATGTATTACATGTAATTTAGAGACTTTCATAACAAATTTGCAAAATATAGGTTTTCCCAGCCAATTTCAAGTTTTCATTTAATTCAGCGCCTAGGAAATTCAGTTTTAAATAAAATGAAATGACCGCTCCGGTTGTAATTTAACAACAGAAAACAACGGTTCAATTTCACTATCAAAATATTCTGTTCGTCTATGTGAAAGATTAAAATTCAAACTAGCGCATCGGCCATTCGGTCTCGTAGGGACCAGCATAGAGCGGTTGCTTGGACATTCATTTTTATGGGCAGACATTTATCAAGTTGTTTCAAGTAGCTTTTGAGGTATTCTTGCGTGTCACCATTTTTGTAAAGGTAATATAGGAGGAATTACCCAAGAAAACGGTTCAGTCACTACTGAACACAATTATCTTGCACCTCGAGAGATCAATGGATGAAGCACCTATAAGTTAAATGAATAACTTACAAAGGCAGAGCAAAGTGAACAGTAAACAAAGTGAATAAGGAAAGGATAAATCTGCCAACATCAGGATTTTCCCGAAGATCTGTTCCTTTTGAAGCTACATGTATATTTTAAAGGTCAATAGAATATCGCCAAAATCTATACAATTTCCCCAAAGTTCACTAGTGATTAAAATGTGCTAGCACCCTTCCCGAGATAAATGATGGAAAGGACAGTTCCTCAGCCCTTTCCCGTCATTATTTCAGTGATATTCTATGTATAATATTTCAAATTTTTAAGTTTCTCAAATGAAAACAGAGATATTCGGTGATTTACAAATATAACTACTTAAAACAGGTAAGTCGTCATCGACACCACGAACTGACACCCACGTGGGTAGAAAGGACACCCAGGCTCGTAAACACACGCACCGCAGAAAATGCTTTAAAAAGTTTGACATGAATTTGATCCATCCATATAGTTGTTAAATCGCCCCCAAAAAGAAAAGTCGTTTTAACTGGTGAAATTAAGATCGGTGTCAGTTTGTGAAGACGAAAATGACTTAGTTCTCTAAAATGTGCACAAATGAGATCACCGCGCGCACGGAGTGAGTGTCAGTTTATGGTTTTGGTTACGAAGTGTTAATAGATGATTGCATGCCTTTGAATACATTAAAACAAAAAGGCGCGGCTATATGGATGATATGCTTCACCATTAGCTACCGGTAACTCGAATGATTCAAGTGTCAAAAGATGCCAAAAAGCTGCCTAGGAATGCCACAAACGATGCAAGGAATAACCCAAAACGAATCGAACGCACAACAACGAAAGCGATAATTAATGTTAGTTGTCTTAAAACTGAATTTCAATGTCCTAAATGAAACCGACACTCACGTTTGATCAGAAGTGTAACATCCACACAAATTGAATGGCCTAGCGTGAAAATGATTACGAAAATTGCAAAATTGAACAGAAACCCCATGGTTACTAAATGAAAATGAGGTTTATTTCAGAGTTTGTCATGTCGGCATTCCTGCCTACCATGGCTCAGTATTGTTTTCACAAGGTGTACTTTAAGTAATTGTCACGGCATGAAGGTCTTAAGTAAATAACAGTTTCCAAGTTAACCTCTCGTCTGTGATGTAATTACAGGATACTTTCTGACAATTTTGTTTCTTTGTTCATTTTGGGACCACTTGAGATTTTGGGACCGCTCGAGAAAAATCGGAAATCGTGTTGTTGTGAACTTGCCTTTTGAACAGGTAGGTAAAAATGTCATTTTCGGTAAATCAAGCATACTTCGAGCGCGCTCAGAAACTTCAATTGATCCTTTAACAGCGGTTATAGCCAGAACAAATTCCTTTGACCGATTGGATAAAAAAATAGACCACCTCGGTTAAGTTATCTCAAGATAAACCCCAAATCAACCGAAAAACCCAAATAAAATAGTTGGGACACTAACGTGGTGCATAATTGCTGCCGAGTCAGATTGCCCGCTGTGACCAAGATGGGTGATATTTGCCCACTGTGTAACTGTTGCGTGGGTGAATTGCTGCTCGAGCTATACTTTTTTGTTTTCTCACACGACTTGTTCAGAAGAATAATAATTAATATTAATCTTAATAATAATAATTAAAGGTCCTATTCGAGCCAGATTTCCTATTTTTTCTGGTTCCGTTCAGTTTCAGATCAGCTTTGGGTTATATCTGTAATGCTTGGGTCAGTCTGACCTGTTCTATAGCTGATTTAATGCAAAGCTTT